GTCATATTGCCAGAAAAACAGTCAATTTATTGAAAGAAAAATTCAACGAATTCGGATCTCAAGATTCAGGAAGGGATAAGATATATATGGGTTATGTAAAGTCACTGGTATGCCAACAATCTAAGAACTGTTGAGGAACTAAAGCTAAATATAAGAAGCTTCAGCAACGAAGTAGAGGCACCTCTACCTCGTTAATAAAGCTTTATGTCAGCATTATGTCAAATGTGATAAAAATTGGACCTCTTGTATTCAGGCTATCACACCAAGATAAAATGATAATTTAAACGATGTCGTATTCCACAAAACATGCAAAAGAGTAAGCTTCTAAAAAAGGGAAATTTAATGTAATTGTAATCAATACCTAATCCTTTTAACCTAATCCAATCGAATTTAAACGTACCAGAAAACCCTATATTTATACTAAACCCTTTTTATGAGAGTCCGTCCGACTCGCACTTGGTTGAGAGTTTTTTAAGCTCATGTACTTCCAAGCGATCGGTAATGATTGATATTTTTGGAATGTAAAATAAATTTGCGCTGTTATACCTATATATATATATATATATATATACATACCAGCTTTTGCCCGCGACTTCGTGATTCAGGCAGCAAATTACCCAATCTGCTTACTATTTAAAAATATAAAGTTAATAGTTTTATATTTGAAAACATGAATAAAGTGTCAAAGTCGAGGTTTTTTCAATTAAAAAAGGCGGAACATTCCCTGCGCAATACAATTAATGCAATTCAAGATCTAGTTATATTTTAAAATACATAAATCCTGACATGGCTCAGATCGGTTTCAGAGCAGAACAGACAAATATATAAAAGTATTATGAAACACCTAAAATGATTGTCTAGGATGGAAGTAGGTACTATAGCCGGTAAAAAAGATTACATAACTATATGATAGCTTTAGAAGGTTTGTCAGTATTATTAGCAATAATTACTTTGATTTATTAACAGTGCCCCTAGCACGAACCAATATCGAATAGTTTACGAGTGCAAAATGTCAATTTCAAATTTTGCATGGAAACTTGAACAGCAGCGCCACATAGTACGCGCAAGAACGAGAGTACGTAACGAGAACTAAAAATCAGTACACAATTGACAATGACATTACAGACTCGAAAAATATGGAATAGCTTGCGTTATATTCAAAGTGTTTAAGAACTACTGAATGATTTACCTAGTGCATTATCAGTGTTAAGCACAGTATTTCTGTCTTTTAAAGGACTTTAAAATTTATATTTTACTCTTACTGTGCAGAGATACTTTTACTAAGGGCCAGATAAGTTACGCTTTTATCTCATCGGCACCAATCGTCACGTTCCCCTGGGCCTATCGGAAAAGTATGTTATAAGTCTTGCGCGCATTGTGCGGACTATTGGGTGGTGCGGGGCACGCGGTAGCGGACTACACAGTGGTTAAAAACAACATTTTTTGCCATGTTTGAAGGTGGTAGCAATAGAACCAAACTTTGAGGTGAACTTACACGGGAGCATGCCACATAGAACTAACCGTGGGAGAAGCAGTCCTGTCGTAGGTCGTTGCAAAGTTAAGGTGGCTCTAAATTTCTTAATAACATAACAGGAGTACCCACACGCTGTTAAAGTCTGTGGTATGGCAGACCCGGTGGGTTCAAAGTATTCTACTGAATAATTAATGGCATCGTCAGTGTTTACCACAGTATCTATTGAGTTATAAACAATCAGTTGTCCTCCAAAGGAGTGCAGTAATATGTCATTAATGACCGCTGCTTGGTCGTTCTTTGGGGTTAGTATAGCTCTTTCGCATAACCACTCTATTGATTTTCCGAGATGGGCGCAACGTCTGGATATTTTTTTGAAATCAGGTTTTCAACTATTGTTACAGATCGGAGGGACAGATAGAATAGCGCTACGACGAGAGACCCACCTCAGGCAACGCTGCTCTATGAAATAACTAACATGAAACGGCAAGCGTAGCGGTCGACGTCCCCTCCATGCACCCGCTTAACGCAGCGCACACCCGCGCCCGCTTAATCATGCTAGAATCGGGACCAGTTTAGGAGGCTCATTTGGAAAGTATACTGAGATAACCTTAGTAAATAAACAGAAACGTAATCACACTACTATCATAAAGGCGAAAGTTTGTGAGTGTGTATGTTTGTTACTTCTTCACGTTTAGATGTGCAGGCTGGAGCGATTTTAATAAAATTTGGTAGGGAGTTAGCTGACACCCTGGATTAACACATAGGCTACGTTTTACTGTGGGAAAATATCCCTAATAAACCGCGGGTAAGACCGTGGGGCACACTAGTTATACACTATTATGTATAACTATAATTACATCATTTAACGAGCAAAGAGCCTTATCATTAGTTATACATTTAGCTTAAAGAATGTTATATTTTGGCAAGGAGGCTGGGCTATTACAGTGAATAAAAAAGCCAATTAAATTTTTATGAGAGCATAAAAAATATACATCTTTTGCATTATTAAATAATATTTTTAAAGCACTCTTTTATTTCACATTATATACAGCCAAAACATTAAAATTCTGATAATTTTTAATTGTAAGTTTATTTATTATTGTTGTGAAACATTCTAAATAGTTAATAAAAAGATGTTTCCTTAATCGGTTAGAAATGATATTTAATAATATTTTGCCTTGTAACGTTATGTAAATATAAAATACCTATCATTAACAAAAATGGTGACTAAAATATTTTTTTAAAGTAATTGTTGGTTTTAATAGTTTTTTTTTGTTTTCGAAGGACCATACTAGGCTATCTTCTATATTAGTAAAACCACATAATATGATAGTGGTTAAAAATCAAATCTATTTTTAAAATTATCCTTTAGTACTGATAACAATATTCATATTAAAATAATTTAAATATGGCCGCTGCGCCGCTCCCGAAATGTATTTTAACCCCTTTAGCAGTTATGGCTATGAAATGAAAGGGCTTGAAGAGTAGACAATAAAACGTTACGTTGACGAACAGCAACGAATGCAGATTATGTGTGCTAAGGCGGGCCGCACACCAGAAATAGAATTGTATTACGATAGTTGTGGTTGTGGCGCCACATTTGAAAGGCTTCTGTGTGCGGCCTCACTTACGGTTGATCCGTCAGCGCAAGAGGATTTCTAATTTAATCAGTACGTGGTAAGGTTCAGTCCATTCTCTATGTCTATCCTATAAAACCCATGTGCAAAGACGAAATAGGGGAATTGGGCATTGACCCACTATGCGGGTCCAGTGAGGACCGGTACGGTGTGTGCTATCGACTGCAGACGTAGCCGAGACCAACGGCCTAACACGCATTAGGCTAAGAACTCACGGAGCGGTTTTCCCTGCACTCGCTGCGGGAGGCCGCAGAGCTGTTTTATTTCAAAACTCAAGAGATCGAAGTTTTCTGCGGTCGAACTCGCCGTATCTGCGGGTGATCGTATCGCGTGCGCGCCCGCAGAGGGTGCCGCAAAAATCCGCGCGCTCTGCAGGCTATGCTCTACCCTAACTGAAGCTATGTTTATACTTCGACTTTTTATTAGCTGCAGTAAAATGACGTTTCAAAATGTCATTCCGCAAAATAATGTTGACCGCCTAATTTCAATAGGGATGTGATTAGGTTCACAGAAAATCTAATCGTTCCATAACTAACTCATAATGATCATACTTAATTCTTTTTATTATTCATATAAATAAAAGGCTGTACAAAATCTCAAGTTGGTACTGGTTTTTAGTTACGGTGCTACGATGAGGCCTGTCCACCATTTGTCATTCGCTCATTCGGCTTCTAACTTCTGTTTTGAGTGCACGAATAACTTTGCTTTGCCCACTGCGAGTCGTTTTAGTTATCATTAAAATTTTGTTACGTTGTGTTTGTTTTTCGTTACCTACTTTTTCTTAATCGTGATGATGATGATGATGAGTTGATGCTCAGTTGAGCATATCACAAGATAGAGATACATTTCTATCTCCTAAGAAAAAAAAGGCCACGTGTAGCTCTAAGTGCCACCGAGAAACTTTGGGTCAGAAACGTTTACAAATATGTGTTTGAAGTGAAATCTACAGATTCAAGTATTAAAATTCCATAAACAAGTGAATGCATCAACAAGGTGGCTGAAGTCTTGGGAATATCCGTCCGCACTGTTTATTTTGTTTTAAAGGAGCACAAGAAGAACGACTGTAAATCACCAAAACCTCCCGAAAAACCTGGCCCAAAACTTACATTTAAAGAAAAACTTGATGATTTCACATTCACCGCTATTAGACGAATTGTACATCAGTTCTTTCATAGAAATGAAGTACCCACCATCGCAAAGGTTAGTTTATCTGTCATCGCTAATCTTTTTATTATACGTTAGGTATAATATGTTTTCTCCCAACTCATGTGGAATTTTAACCAAATATAGTGAAGGCCACTCTCAAAGATAACTGAGAAATATGCCGTGGACGAGATTGCTGCATAAAAAGGTATCAGGCTTTTAAGACTGCCCCCTTATCACTGTGAATTGAACCCCATCGAGTTGGTTTGGGCTCAGGTAAAGGGGCACATCGCAAACATTGATAAAACATATAAAATGCAAGAAGTGAAAACTTTATTCCAAGAAGGAATCAACAAAGTGACACCGGTTAAGTGGAGTGACTGTGTGTCTAACACTATAAAAGAGGAAGACAAAATGTGCCACCTCGATCATATTATTGATGAAATGACAGACAGATTTGTCATTAGTGTGACCGAAAGCGACAGCGATAGTGATTCCGAAAATATTTGATTAATAAATAACATTGTTATGACTTTTTGTTTAATTTTGGATGTACGTCCCGATACTTCCAATGAAAAAGATCAATCCTTTACTATAGTAATAATAATAGAATAAAAAATCATTACAACTTAATATTAAATCTCTTAAACAAAACCAAACTGATCATTCATTTCTTGTTTTTTTTTTTGATTTTTTAAGCATCTTAATAAATAAATATTTAAGTTTTATCAAACACTAATAAATATTTTGCACAATACGAAAACATCTGTTTATCTAAAACTCATGATTTTTATGTTTGAATTAAAATTCTTATATTTTTACAACATCTCGATAAAATACAAAGATAATTTACAACCTGGTAGATAAAATATCTTTGATATTTAGTATAAATATTGGTAGCTGATAAAATATGCTTAAACACTTTACGGAGGTGAGTAGCTTTACATATTTTTGATTAAATAGGTTTTAAGTACACAAGAGGAACTCGATGGCGCAAGTGGTTAGTGCATTTAGCTGCGTCGTTGAAGTTAAGTAACATTCGCATTGGTCGGTCATTAGATGGGAGACCAAAAATTTACTATCTCTTCTTCCTCCGTGCTTCGGAAGATACGTTAAGCTGTTGGTCCAGGCTGCATCTGTAGTCGTTAGCACCTACCAATCCACCCTGGGCCCGCGTTGTGGATCGTGGCCCAATTTCCCTATTCCATGGGAAGGCCTGTGCCCCAGCAGTGGGGATATTAATAGGCTGATGATGATGAAGTATACAACAAAAAGTAGGTAATTGCTGCTATCGGAATATAGATTATCAATAAATCATCATCATCAACCTAATAGGACAGTATTACTTACTACTGCTGGGGCATGGATGAAATAGGGAGAATGGGTCATCACCCACTATGCAAGATTGGTGGGTGCAGTGACAGCAGATGCAGCCGGGAGTAACGGCTTAATGTGCCTTCCGAAGCACGGAGGAGCTCAATATTCTATAATTTTTGATCACACCACCAATGACCGGCCATTGCGAAAGTTGCTCGAAAGTTCAACGATCACAGACCGAACGCACCAAATACTTGCGCTATCGAGATCCTCAACATATTTAAATATTGTTACGGAAAAGCTGCTGACTCACATAATACAAGGCAAAAATTCAATCAGTAAGCGAACAAATTTCACAGAAAAAAATCCCAGAATACTACAGAAATTACAAAAATTTTCAATCAATTTTCAATTTAAGAGACGGGTTAAAGTTCAAAATACCTACATTGCATACCTAATTTTGATACTTTTTTTATACTTGACATGCAAATGTACCTGATCTGACGTTCTCTTTCATACAACACAGCCAAAGTCATGAAATTCTTCGTCGTATTCGCGGCTGTGGCCGCCGTCGCCTGCGCTACCCCCACCATGTGGACTCTCAGCGAGTTGGACCAGGCCATCCAGAACCCCACCACCAGTGCCAACTTCAAGCCTGTGCTGCTGAATGCCCTTGACGTATTCATGAACAACCTTTTTCAAGGTCATGAGGTGGTACGTAAAGTACTGTTTTATGATATGAATAATAGCAAAATCGAAATGGCGCTGAAAATTGCTTTCCTTCTAACATACAAATCCATTCCCCTATGGGTATAGCTACAACTCGTTTGTTTCGAGTTGACCGTCGATGACTTACAAAAAGACATAGGCCAATCACAGATACATCAACTGGAAACGTCGACCAATAGGGTCGACTAATAGGGTATGTCAGGAAGGCAGTATAGTGCAGCCGAAGGGCGCGTTGTATATACACGCTAATGAGCAAAATTCACTACCGATCATGAGGAAAGCTTTAAGGAGATGTAAGAGATAGTAGTTAACGTAGGGCATAGCCGATTGGCACGCCTGTCTGGGGAAGTAACCTCCACCTTACAGAAATAACACTTCCTTTTAGTGGTGTAGTGCTTCTGTTAGTGAATTAGGATTCCAGGGCTCCATCGAGCAGAAGTTGGGGTCGGCTTAGGCTAGTGATATTTCGTATCACAAGAGAAGTTCAAAAGGTTATAACAAGGGTTTCGATATGAGAAGTAAGTATATTCTTACAAAATAGCACTGCAGCTATCTTAGCAACTGTACTACATTCAGAATTTGCATCAGAAAAGCACAAATTGGAAGGTCTGTCAAGTACCTGACTTAGTAGACCTTCTAATAACCTGTTTGTTTTCTATCAGGTCCCTATGTCGATCACGACGCAAGCTGGCTCCGTCGGAACCTTCAGTCTCACAGAGCTGAGCCACGCCATTGAAAGCGAACAAATCGACGCCATCTTCATGCCGTACTTTGAGAAAGCCCTCAACACGATGATGACCGCTCTCTTCTCTGGACAAAATATGGTAACTTTTTATTACCTACTTTACTTTGTCATGATAAGTTTTTATAACTTAGCTTTAAATATTAATAGGTACGGTCAAGGCGTGAGAAATTTTTCTCCGTCTAATAGGCTCTGCATTGCAAATATTGCTGTTACCGTTACGTAATAAAGATGGTATCATGGTGGTCTGTTGTGGATTGGTGGGAGTGCTAATGACTGTAGAAGCAGCCGAGTGTCACTAGTTACCATGTCTTGTCAAGCACGAAGGAAAACTGAATAACACAATTTTTGTCACCCGGCTTATTACTGACAAATGCAGATCTTAAATCCTAAAGTAGGATAAGTATGTACTTATAAACCAAGGCATAATGATGTGTACTTTCTGCATAGATTCATTCGGGAATCAAAACTGGATCATCATCCGCCTATTAAAGTACCCACAGTTGGGACAGAGGCCTACCTTAAGAATGGAATAGGGAGATTAGACCATGACTCACCACGCTAACCCTGTCCATTGGTGGGTGTTAACGAGTGTAGATGCAGCCAGGAACACGGAAGCACGGAGGAGCTCGAGATAATAAGTTTTGGTCACCAAATCTAATGACGAGCTATCGCGAAAGTTGCTTAACTTCCACGATCTCAAGCCAAACGTCATCTAGCTCTTGCTCTTCATGGCTAATGTATGGTTCAGTGCCATGTGGGACGTGTAGATGTCGCTGTCTTTTTTATTGCAATTCTTAAAATTCAAAATGATAAAGAGTATCTGACCTCACAGAACGAGATCTCCGTGGACGTGCCCGCCTTCATGATCTCCGCTTGGACCCTGAAGGAGTTGGACGACGCTGTGACCAGCTCCGAGACCAACCCCAAGCTGCTGCCCTACCTCGAAGATGCTTTGAACAAATTTGTAGCCGCTGTTTTCTTCGGACAAACTATTGTGCGTAGCTTTTGATTTATAATTTATCTATTTTAGCTCATCTTAAAATCAATTTTCAAGAAAATAACTATAAATGTCCCTGAAAAGACTAAATCTTTTGACAGTCAAAAAATCAATTGTGTTAATAAAAACATATTATTGATTTGTTGTTTATAAATTCAATTGTTTACCTACTACGTTTCATGAGATGTAATTCTCTGCAAGACAGATCAATTGACAGCAGAGCACAATAGAAGCTAAGGCCTCGTTGTTTGAAACATAGGTAAATTTGACCATAGTAAATTTCATATCAATAACATAGTTAATTTGACTATAGTTAAAATACTAGAGAAAAATCAAACATTTGTCAAAATTTTACCATTTACTATGTATTTGACGTGACATTAACTATAATCAAATTTAACTATGTTGCAAACAACGCGGTCTTATAGTCAGACTCAGAATCCAAAGAATGCTTTGCTTAATTTCTTTGATCCTTCCTAATGAATATTTGTGAGAACGTATAATTGTTTTGCAGGACAACATTGTTGTCGTAGCGCCCGCTGATTTATTCTCCTCCCCGTCCCCCGCGCCCGCGCCCGCTGCTCCTGTGGCTGTTGGCGAACCTGTAGTACAAGATGCACCTTCAGAATCCGCCTCCATCAGCCCCCTCGTGCAAATCATCTTGAACGTTCAAAGCAACCAAGTGAGTATCCCTACTAATAGTACAAATGCGAACTATGTCTGTCTGTTACCTCTTGACGCTTAAACCGCCGAACCGATTTAGATGAATTTTGGGATAGAGATAGTTTTAGTCCCGGGAAAGGACATAGGAGTTTTTTTCAAATTCAAACTCATTTTTTCACTCTAGGCTGTTACAAGCTCTTGTGGAAGTCAAAAGCTACGCCATCGGTGAGTAAATCTACGGCGGGAGACCTTGTACTGAGAACAACCGGCAAGAAACTCAGCAAGGGCTATCTTTTTCTCCCTGTTTTCTTTCATACAGTGTCGTAAAATTGAAAGATGACACCAGAACCTGAAAACATGTGTTGATGTCAACTTTCATCACATTCATATTACATATTAATTAATAATAATAATTTTAAGCTACTATTTTTTTTTTGAAGTATATTAAGCCCAAGGTGCCTTATCATTAAAGAAACCTTTCATAAGGAGACAAGTTTGATACTCAGTTTAAATTTATTAAAGGATAAATTAATTACTTATTTCTTTTAGTATTTTTTGATAGTAACATATACCTTGACCCACAAATGAATCAAGAACCTTTAGGAGTGTCAACGGTGGCAATTTGTTTAACTTTATTTCTGGTATTGAAATTATGTAATCATTGCGCCTCGTATATAAATTAATGTTCTAACTGACACCCAAACAAAATACAATTATTGTATTAATGATGTGAGGCAACAGTCATTATATCTGTAACTTTAAATTTATCCCTAATCGGGTTTCCCAGCGACAAATAGCTCTAATAGCTCGTTTTTAAAGAATAAAAACTGTTTTAATGCCAGCGGCCGTGCCCCACAATAGAATGCCATACGACATAATGCTATGAATGTAGCTGAAGTATATTGTCCTATCAGTGTCGACATCTGTAAGCTGTCTTATTTTATAAACTGCTTAAGCAGCAGAACTAAGTTTACTCACGCTAGTGTTGTAAAGTAAGGCGCTTAGCAGAACGGGGCGGGGCGGGCCGGTCAATTTCACCGCGAATAATAGCACAAAGTAAATCCTATACTTCAAACGCACACAGAGGGCAAAAAGACCGCGCCGCAGGTGCCCGGCGGGCAGTGGCCGCGCGGCATGTCCGCGGCTGCCCGCCGTGGATCATACAAACCAGTTTATATGCAGTACCGCACACGGCGGCGCGGGGCGGTCAGCTCAGTCCGCGCCACGCGCTTGTAGAACGAACGTTCTGAACTGACCGCCTCTGCCCGTCGTGTGCTTTGTGTACGCGGCGCGGGCAGCCGCAGACATCGACGGGCAGACGCGGTCTTTATTGCTTCGCGGACAAAATGCCCGCCCCGCCCCGTCGTCTGCTCAACGCCTTAGGGTTCCATTTAGTTTGTGGGCTAGTGTTGCGCCTAGAAAAACGGTTGTATCAACTAAAAATAGTTTTTCACCATTTAAAATTGTATCCCCCATTTCAGCATGCTTTACATTTGGTAAAATATTTTTTTACATATTTAGTTTTGCTCGCATTAAATTTAAGATTATTAGTAGACAACCAGTGAAGTACCTTAGACAGTGCATTGTTTACATCGTCATAATTAAATAGTCATACCTCTCCCCTATAGCGAGGAACAAAGGAAACCTGCCCCCCTAGCATGAGTAACAAAACGCGATATGATAAAGCGATTTATCGACATTAACTGTCAAACTACAATGGAGTTTTGTTTTATACGTTATACTGCGATTGCGGGCATATTCGCCCCGCAAAAAAATACAGAATTATTCGAATAGTATTGTCGCTCGAATAGTATTATGCCGCTATGGCTACTCCCTTCCATGTCCAAAAAACATGAAATACGATACGGCTAATGACGGACGTTTATTGACGTCGTTGCAGTGCTACACATTGAGGATCTCCAATGACCTTAGAAAAACATTAAAATTTAAATTTATATTTCGGTAAAATAATGATAACTGATTTCTCAGCCATCATTAAATGAGTTGTTTTTTTTAGATAAATCGCGATGACTGATTACACATTGGGTGTTGTCCTCCGCTCGCCGACCCATTCAAAGATTACAAGGAGAGGAAGGGGCATTGCTGTACAGTTTGTTAAAGATCTTGAGTTAAAAAACATCTACAGTGTTATTTAAAGTAGGTAATAATATATACATATATATATATTGTGTACTTATTTCGTCGACTGTTGATTAAAATAATAAATGTGCATGCCCTCCGAGGGGCCACAGTGGAAAACGTAGGGTTCATGCCTTTACAATAAAGTTTTTTGGCAGAAATTCAAAAATAACTGTAGCCAGAATAATGATTTTTATTTAAAATTGTAGAGCTACCTTCGAAAGAATTATATTGAGCGTTCGGTTATTTCATTGGAAGATTTTTAAAATTTTATTGTCTATGTATGAATTTATTATTTAATTTACTAATAAAGTATTTTATTTAAAATTCTTGTTTGTAATTTTGAGTTTATTTATTTGACCCTAACTACTGTAAACTACCACCAGTTCCAAAATTGGGAGACCTTCCTGAGAAGAACCGGCGAAACAAACTCAAGAGAGGCTTTCTATCTCCTTCTTATGTTAAATTATGCAAACAAAAAGAACTAATAGTATCTGATGGTCTTGCAGTGTGTGCTCGGGGTTGGGATTTTATCTCCTGTATAATAGGTTCCCAAGCTGGTGGTATATACCAACCATCTTCCCTATTGAAATTTGGATATTTTTTAATCTCAATAGCCTCGCGCATCATTCGAGGAACGAACCGCCGCTCAGCTGCAAGGATCTGTGGTCATCAAATCTAATGTAGTGGTTTGGTCCCCCTAATGCATGTTCACACACTGCAGATTTTGATACTAGCAGTTCATTCAAGTAAAATAGGTAATTAATGAGATACACTATACAGTCGTATTTTGTTTCTGTTTTATATTTTGTAGGTACCTATGCTTATAAAAAGTTTAGCCAAGCATATTTAATTGAATCAGAATAAAATTATTATAGATAAAATAGTACTTTATAGTGTAAAAATGTGTAATGTTGGTGATTACCGCTGAGGTGCCATTGAGACCAGAGTCGTTAGGTAATCATCAATACACACAAGTATCATCATACGACGTTTTTTAACACACTTGTTAAGAAAATAATACTAAAAATCATTTTATAGTATATAAAAAGTTTATTTAGAGAAACAATTTGTAAATGTGCAGTTAGTAAAATTAGTGATAGGTATCTTCACTAAAAGCATCTGGTCATGGTTTCTTTGGTCGGCCTTGCCTGTTTTCCCAGGAGTTTCAAATTTTCCATCATTCTTAAAACCTTCGTTGACTATCCGACTCTGATTTTCCTGAAAAAAAGTAAAAAAAAAATTGTAACGGAATAGAAACAATAACTTATTGACATGAAGCAATTAATTCAAAATTGGTAGAAAACCTGACCGAGTTGAACCATAATAACGTATCAAAAGAAATGGTCGTACTACAATATTACCTATTTACAATGTCAATCTAACCTAAAAATGTGCAATGTAAACAATGCTTTTTTGGTCTCAAAATCGTAAATTGAGTAAATTTGTAACTTCAGGTTTTTTAACAGATTACAAACAAATAGTTACACGATTACACACCCATCATAGATGCTGTTCGCCCATAAACATCATCCAAATCCCACAAAATTCGTCCAGCTTGGTAGTCTTCGAAACATCGCTGGAAAACTTTAAAAATCACATCCCGCGTGCCACTCCGATTTACTTTACTCATTTTTATACCTTTCTGCGTAGTTTCGTCTTAATTTATTACAGTTTAATCCAATCAATAAAAAATACAAAAGGAAAACTGTTCCACAACTGAAACTCGATGACAGCAGCTGATGTACATAAGTTTGGTGTTGCCAGACACATGAATAATGTTAGTTCCTCAAACATTCATGTCACGACTTTATAGACAAACTGTAGAGGTGAGGAAAACAGATAAGATAAGGAGACGGCACGTAGTAGGAGGAGGTACGAAGATACTTATTGTTGTTACTTAAATTAAGACTGGTTCGGTAAATGTGAGTTCTTCATTTAGTGTCTTATGAAGGGGTTATTAGATGTGATAATGAAAATTAGTGTGTTCAATGAAACGGACTAAGGATTGAAGTATATTTATATGTCGAATTAGATCAAGGAGTTACGTATATTGGATGGGCATCAGTAGCGTGGGGTGAAAAACATAAAGGTAAAGCCGGACCAAAAAAAAACGACTAACGCGTGAATAATCAAAACGTCATATCTTAACTTGTAAAAAAACATGCAATACATTGGTGTCGATTCTAGAGTGATTCTCTAAACTTAAAACTAAATTTAACATCAGTCTCTCCTTTTCATTCTGTATAGAGAATGACAAGGATGCACTGTTGTCAAATTTAAGTTTAGCTTTAGAGAATCATGCCAGAATCGACATCATTACATACCTTATAATAGTGTGTTAGTGCACCTTTCCCAAAACTACAAAGAAATGTTAAGTATGGTGCTTGGGTTGCGTTGTATGCAATTTTTCATGCGACAGGACATGCTTGCTGTACAGTTGTTAGTGTTCACCACCTTCACCATACATGACGTCACTGGTATTATATGAACAGTGCATGTCAAGTATGATAAAAGTGGCTTTAAAATAAGCCGTATAAAGCATACGCCACTCACACGAAGATTATAAATAAATAAGTATATAGAAAAACAAAGAACCAAAAATAAGTGAAACTTATCTTGCCAGCATCATCATCACAAATAAATACCTGCAGAAATACATACATAGTATCACGTCAGTAGGCCGCGAGACCCAAGGCCACGGCCACAAACAGGAAATCGGTGAGACAACAATCTATTTGTACTAACGCCACCATTCCTACGTGACGGCAAGAAACAAAAAAAAAACAAACAAACCTTTACGGTAAAATAAATCACTTGGCAAGTAAAATTTCACTATTTTCGATCCTGTTAAACTACTTAAATCAAGCTAACTATCACAATAGATAAATTAGCATTCGAATCCGTCCATGCGAATGCGCGCAAAAATAATGACCTCTCCACCTCAGGTCAACAGAGCCGAGGTCACGTGTCTCCGATTGGCCAAAAACTTCAAGCGAAACGGAACCTTAACATATGACAAATAAAGATTGCAGGCTATCTAAGATCGGCTTATAAGCGCTGTTATATCGACGAGTCGTTGCAGTGGGAGTTATGTGTATGTGTGCGTGAAGTGCTCACATTTTATTTATTTGAATTCCCGGTATAATTAGCAGGTTATCTAGCCTACTACCGCGGCGCGGACCTGTGTGTGCTTTTGCGCGATTTCAAATATATTGCGTATATTTGTTTCTTAGGTTTTCACGCACATCACTCTTTAAATAAAACTAGTTTTTACGGGTTAATGCACGAAACTTTATTTATTTATTGACGTAAATAAATAAAGTTTCGTGCATTAACCCGTAAAAACTAATTTTATATATTGCGTATTTTGTATCCATCATATTGAAGAATATTTTTACAAAGTGCGCAATGTGATTAAGTCGCTTGCATTAACGTTTTTATACGTCAATGGTCGCTTGCGCTTGAATGTAAATATATTAGAATCTGGCAAGGTAAGCCGGTAGGAGTCGTGTTCGAAGAAGGCTTCGCCACTGATGGGCATACAGAAACATAGTTACCTACGTCTTTCGGTTGATAAGATTGAGCAGTCTACAAGGAGATGGAAAGGATTCTGTGGTAATTGCGAGTTGCAAGGACACAGATTTGTAGAGGTGATATGGAAGCGATGCAAGTAAGATAAAGGGGCGTCGTGTCCGGTTAGGAATTGACTGAGATGGAAGGAACAAGGAATGAATAAGCGAAAGTCGCGAATGAGAGATAAGGATGGGAAAATAAGTTTTGTATGAGATCCTTGCTGCGATTCAGTGTAGCGTGTTGCCACTCTTCTAGTACCCTGGTTCGAGAGATATCTTTAATATGTGATATGGGGAATTTGTCATATTATAAAAATATTAAATAAAGCTTTTTTCATCGTAGCCGCCCGACCGGAAATCAAGCTGCGGATGATGAGGCTCTCGATTTGGCTCATAGTATTGTTTATAAACAAACCAAGATCTAAAACTTTCAACACTTATTGAAGTATTCGCCCTCGCAAATACGTGCAATTCTTGAAGCAACTGTCAAATAAATGGTAGGTATACGCACATACAAGTCTGTGTTTAAACATGTCAATACTTGAAAGCAATAATCTTACATTAATTGTGTTGGTCTAAACGAAAGACATTTGTCAAAACTGGCAATAGGCTAGTTGACTCATATCGAATTGTATTAAATAAATGTTTATTTCTTACAGTATTTGGTCTAAGGAACCTAAATATATCGATTTCACTTCATAAAAGCAGAAGATTGCTGTAGAAATTTAATTTTAAAAAATATTTTTTAGTCTATATTTTTTAAACACTAAAAACGCTGTTCGCCACATCCGCCATGATTGTGACGTCTCTTTCAGTAAACAACTAAATGTCATTCGCGTGTTATTGTGGGTGGATTCTTTAGTCTGAATAAATTTATCTTAAAACACTTTTAACTTTAGAAAAGTTTCCGTTTACTTTTTTTTTTGACAAAACTAATTATGGATGCCGGCTTTGTGAAAGCAGAAAGCACAAATCTGCCAAGAATTGACGCATAGATGGTTGGTGAATTTTTTGCACTAAACCCCCATTTTTGCTCTGCGGAGCAGAGAAACGACAAGGCATCTATGTAAGTACAGTGGATTTAGTATTACAATGTAGTAATAAACATAAAACTGATACAACATATGAATAAGTGTAATAAAGTTGCGTAGGTTAATTTCTTTCGGCACTTTAATCCATAACATTCCTGGAGTCTTCAAGGATGTGTTTTTATATTCTCGTACAATACAATAATGATAATTACTTTATTTTTCGTGGTATTTATTAGAAATCGTGTTCTTTTTATCATAAACTCAGATAAGTTATTTTCTACGTGCTTACGAGTTTTTGTTTACTATAATTGACATCATAGCATAGACAATCTATAGACTAAAATGGCCGACAGCGTTTTTGTATGTCCATGAAAATTCTATTTTAAAATTAAAGATTTGAAGCTTTCTTGGTCTCAAAAAAATACAATACATTTTTTTTTCGGTCTAATAGAACATTTATTCACCATTAAAAACCTTTTTCCAAAAAGGGTCAACTAGCCTATTAACAATTGTATGCAACCTTTTTACTATGTCCGCGTGTAAACAGTTGCTCACAATTCTTGAAAGTCAATTATTGCTCCTCATTAATTGTATGCAATGATTGCTCTTGTATCTACAAGAAAACTGCATCGTGTAAATGGCGCTTAATGATTGATCACTAGAGATCGGATAATGGGATACATATTCACCCAAAGATAAGATATTGGCTTTTATGGAAAGCACTTTTTTATCGAAAAAAACCCGCGATTCCGGAAAATTGTAATTAAAATGTATTTAATATTATATGTATACTCCGTGAGATCTAATAATCCCAGATTGACACATATGACAGTTACCCTCTGTGTATAACATTAAATTTTGTGTAACATATCCTTAATCAATAAATAAATTTATATTCATTTGTTTTCTTACTAACCAAACCACCGTCTCCCTTACACATTACATACTCCAATAGGAAATTAATAATTGACTAAGTAAATATAGATCCGATTAGTTATGCGATTGCTGAATTCTATTTTTAGTAAAAATATCCTAAAGAGCTGTTTCCAGAATTTGTTAGAAAAAAAAAATGATAAGTAAATATGCATCTGATTATCAGATCTCTAGCCATCACACGCCCTAAATCCTATGCCTCAATAAAACTCAGTCGGAAATTTCAATAGGTAATGTATTTTTTACTTTTCATAAATAGATAACTATTCACTATCGGTGAGGTAACAACTCTTGTAGAACCATTTTCTGCAAGCTATTCCTAAAGTCACAAACTACCTGATAATTTGCAGGACGCATTCAAAACATTGCGATAAATTTTACATAGGTTCACATTCATGGAAAATAACAATAAAATTTGTTATGCCTAAATATATACGTCTATACATACACATCTATGGCCCTGTCAGTTGGTGAACTTAACCAACCGGTAAGTACGCGCCGCCGCACCAACTTAAAGCGCGCTTTTTCTTACCAACGAAAGGTAATAACTGCTTCCGACTTCTAAGCTTGTAGCAAATACACATTTATACTTTAGAGGTATTCCATCAAGTTACCCGTATAGGAAAGAATTTAAACAAACAAACATAAAAATAAACATTAGGTATCACTTCAGCATTTCAGAGGTCAGATTTGTGGCAAGTTTCAATAGAAATCTCTCAATTTCGCAAAACAACAGTAATAAAGCCTTAATAAAGCTTTTAAGGCGGGTGTAACGTGAGCATTACAACTAACGAACTACGAAAACGAGTCACTGTATGACTTAGTGATTGCACGTTACATAAGCCTATACAAAAACATATATAAGAAACATATATGTTGTCTTAAACTTTTAAATCATATTTTGTAAGTAGGTACAACAGTTATGGCATTGCAACAAAATTGTCTTTTGTTCAAGAATCATCGACAGGTATTGGTCTAGATTATGTATATTGTACAGATTAGTTCAAAAATTTGCATTGAAATATATATTTTTAAATAAATTATAGACCGCAACATATTACTAATCTTCATAAATACGGCAAGACATATAAAATTATACTTACGGGAGTTTGATACTTAAAGATTATTTATATTTTATGTTTGTTGCGATATCAAAATGGCATCAAAAAAAGTAAATCACATTATTCTCAAACCAGTTTGTTTCTAATGCGAAATAGGTATATAATAGACATTATCTCGCTCATAATATTTACTTACAATCACTGTCAATATTTTTATAGTAGGTATTGTTTCAACACATTATATAGTCTTTTTTTTTGACAGGTATACTTAAATTATATTCAAAAAAACAGCCAAACAAATAGAATTGCAGACCTGTAGGTACTTATAGGCATATATTTTTGGTGAGTATTCAAGGTGCTATTAGATGTGGTTTTAGACCAGGGTGTCGATTCTGCTAAGCTTACGTAAAAAATGCGCTTTTTGACACAATTCTTGTTACTAAAATATAAAATACCAAAATCCATATATTGTAAAGAAAAGTGTACTAGAAAAAAAATCCACGCGGACCAGGCAGCGGACGGGTCCCGTCCGCTGCCTGGTCCGCGTGGATTTTTTTTTCTAGTACACTTTTCTTTAGATTTAAACATCTAGCAGTTAAATGCTTAAAAATAAATAAAATCATATCCATATATTGTGTTTAAGTGGAAATAAATATGCCAAAAACCAATCCTAAAATGATTAATCAGTAGATTATAACACTCGACAGTTTAAGTTTAGTTAGTTTAGAAGAATCGACACCCTGGGTTGTGAATTTGACCTCCGCGGGTGCGGATTTCAGGAATTAAGAGGTAAGTAGTGTGCATGGAATACGGAACTGATGCCAGTGTGAGTTGAACTTTGTAAAGGGTCAATTAAAATTGGGTAACAATTGGTTCTTCTTCTTCGTTCTGGTTTAATTCCTTAAACTTAATTTAAAGAGAACAGTCTCATATGCTCAGTAATACACCTTAGTAAGTTTCTTCTGTCAAATATAGTTCTTTAGAGACTCATACCCGATTTACACCCAGGTATACCTAGGTATTAAAAAAGAAACTCCGTTTTTTGGTTTCGTAATTTAATGTTTATCCCGCAAGTAATATTTAGGTACAGAATTTACGCCTTTTCTTCAGATTGATAAAGGTAAATGGCATTTTTTTTAATATTCGTGTCTATCCTATATATCTACAATAACATTGACTGGATATAATATTGGTTTTAACTGGATATTATATTGGTAATAATCGAAATGCAGAGACTTGTTATCCAAACTAACTGAATATTTGTTTATTTTACATATTTCTTCCAGCTTAGAATACTTTTAAGGGAATTATATTTTATATAAATATATATAACAAGTCGACCAGAGACTTCCCATCTATACAGTAACTAACAACGATATTAAATACCCTAGTTACACCGCGTGCGCTCAAAATGTGACCCAATCAAGAAGTGCTTGAACTCCACTCAAGCACTTCTTGGTTCACAGTGACGTGCGGACCATGGAAACGTCAAAATGCTGCAAGATTCGTGAAAAAATACACATAGTACATAGTGTCGTTTTTTCGACAGGTATCTAATCAATGTTTGTTAATTTAACGCATTTGAAGCAAATTTTGTTCGAATAGTTACTATAAACTGATTTAATAGAAAATATTTGTGATATTATTTAAATGCATGATTGGTTATATAGCCATCTCTTTTCCTCGCGGTCCGTACCTACTATATTGCTAACGGCGCATTCAGAATTGCGCGTAGTCTAAGAAATAGACTATATTCTTCCGCATATAGCCGCAATAAGTCGTAAAATTTTGCGAGCTTGCATTTTGAACTGTCATAACTCTTTGTCATAAAATGCATGCGGCATTTTAATTAAGACCTTACACAGTACGCATTAAAGGTGACTTTCAATGTTTAAATAATGCCTTATATTGTTTTTGACAACGCGATCATCTTACGGAGCTCCGTGGATCGTCCAATGTACCTTTTGGACAGGTTTCGGACATGATTTTGTACGTGTTGTTGTATCTAGGGTATTTAATATCGATGGCAACTAAATACAAATAAGGAATAATATTATTTTTAAGATGGCACTGTTTAAAATACTCTCCTTTCATTCGATGTGGCATAAGGCTTCAACTCTGCATTCATTGGGTTATTTTTTATGCTTGCAGTGTATTTACGAGTGGCATAATTTATGTAAAGCTTCGAATTTTGAAATTGATTTAAATTCCAAAGAAACGCTCTGCAGAGCCCAAGTATTCCAAGTGTAAATGTACAATTCTTTTATTAACAGACATGAACAGAAAATCTGTAGCTTTCAGGTCAGGTTTATCCTACCGCCTGGAGGTTGAACTGATTTGGCCTAGGAAAAACTAGTTTGTCCTGAAATCAGGTTTGGCTGTTGACATATATAATAATATGCAGATAAAATTCAATTCAAAAAAAAAAGACATTAGTATCAACACCTTTTTAAATTTCCAACAGCAACTCAATAGGTATATCTAAATTATCATTTTTTAGATTTCAGTCCAGCCTAAACATTAAAAATATTTTATCCAATACTTCTAAGGTGCTCTTCTATAGCCCACATAGATTGCAACTGTAGGCTGCACCTACACCAGAGTTTTATTTTCATAGAAATCCATACAAGCTAATAAATAGTGCAGCTAAAACCTTACTGTACGCAACTGCTGCAAGTACCTTTAGTGGCAGTATTTATTTTTTATTATTTGTCAAAACATGTAACAAATTTATAATCTATAACTTTCATATGCAATCGACACATTATTAGCTTTATCAGGATGCCATATGACAAAAACCATCATTTTTCCATTTTGTAGATTATTATACATATTTTAAGAAAATTATGACTTAATTGTTTTTTTGGTACTTAATTCTTTTGTTAAAGTAGTTGTACTACCTAATAATGTTAAACATGCGCATTTTACTTTATACATCTTATTTTGGCAGAAAAAAATTATCAAATTTTATCACACAAATTATGTTACACATAAAGTTATAAATTGTATGGGTATGAAACTTTCAATGATAGAATTTTAATTGCCCTTTAATATGGCAGTGCTTTCAAATAAATCACAATTAAAAAAAACTGTAGTAAATAACATAACAATGCTGTCACCATAGCAACGCAATAGGATTGGGCGGCGGCTAAGTACCGATAACTCACAATTAGAATAATATCTGACATAATATAACAAATAAATGTTAAACATTCACAATACAATCACACAAAGTAGCATAATAAATTTGGTTTTACATTTGAAAAAGAAATATCATATATTTTTCAAGCCAACATGTTTCCTTCTCTGTGCGCTTTTTATGTTTCAGATTTTCCCATTTAATGACAAATTCAAATATTTAGTAGTATAAAGTTAATAACTTCCATATCCAAGGATTCATGATCAATAATATCAGAGTAATTTAAAATACATAGGTGTTATTTAATAATGATTACTGTTGGTTTGAACGGACAAGTGATATATCATACCAGATATTAATCCTTTCGAATAATGCATCACATTATTGGTGAATACCTAGCTTACAGTCCAATCAAGACCCCAGCGCTCAGACACCTTAAGTTGTGCAGCTGCTGCATCTTTTAGGGAGAACAAGTGTGTCATCTCTAACTCAGTTTTGGCTAATGCAATAGCTTTTTCAAATAATTCCAAAGATCTCCTCAAGTTGCCTCTGAAAATAAAAAAATAATCCATTAATGTATATCATAGCAATAAATGAATATCTACCCCATAATGTTTGTATAGTGCTGCTGCAACTTCATCTGTGTTAATTTTAGTTTTTTAAGAATCCCACAGGTAGCTAACATTTTTCTGGGATAAAAAGACTATATCCAATGGACCCTAAGTCAGATTGTTTTTATCATAATATTTTGGCAAATAAATAATTCCCTATCCTTCCAGTACAAGGAAAAAAATCAAGGTCAATGGAAAAAGAATGGGTTTTTTGCTATTTTCATCAAAACTAAGATATAATCCAGGTTATAAACTTTATGCATACCAAATTTCATCCAAATCCATTCATTGGTTTTTGCATGATTGAGTAACAAACATACAAACTTTTACATTTGCATTAATAGGACAATGGGAAGAATTAGCAGAGATATTAATTACAATGGCTGCACAGATATGTGTCAATTATTTTTTAAACTGACTGATTAAAATTTATGATGTCACTTTCTTTTCAATGCAAAAGAACAGGACAACACATGATTCTAACAATAATTAAATTAAATTTATGTGCTGTGATGGGAATGATGGTCCATGATTACAGGTAGTAGGTATACAAGTGTTTAAATTTTAGTTTCTTAAGTAACAAATAAGATAAACGGTGATAATGATATCAACTGCTAACTCACATAACTCATCTCTTTTGTGGTTGTGTTGGTGATAAGTAAAGAGATAAAAAGAACCATTTATTACTTAATTTTAAAAGCACATTGCCTGATAGGTTCAGACAATATGACCATATAGTGTCAATTGCTGGCATCTCCAAATAATTTAATACCATATGAGGATGCTTATGTCAGGGGCATGAACATGGGTAAATCAAAAATATGGAAATATATCTGTAAAGGTGTCATAATATATCATTTTGAATTTACTAAGCCACACTTAATATTATTAGTTAATGCAAATAAAGTTATCGCGCGGAATCTTTTTTTAATTAAAAAATGAAATTTTAAACTGACCTTTGTACTTCAATTGTGCCAAGGGTTTCATAAGCAAAATCACATTTGTCATCCATTTCAATAGCCTTGTTAATAAGCTTAACAGCTTTGTCAAAATCTGTGCTCTTTTGCAATTGTACTAAGCCTTTATGAACATATAATGTGGCATTATTTGGATCAACAGCTAATGCAGAATCAAACAAAGCCTCAGCACGGCCCCACTCTTGCTGATCGGAAAGAACCTGTGCATAGAGAATATAAGCTTCGGGACACCTTGGGAATCTCTCCAATGCCCGTTCAAAATCAGCTCTTGCTTGGGCTAATGCACCAACATTTTTATTTATCTGTGCATGTTTATAATCAGCATAACACTTTTGAATGTACGCAATTGAGAAATCTGGGTTCAGTTCTACTGCCTTTGCAAATTCAGCAGTCGCCTCATCCATGCGTTCCAATAACAAGTACACCTGACCACGGTGATGATAAATATCAGAATTCTTTGGATCTAAATGAGCAGCTTTAGCAAAGTCTTCCAGGCAGAGTTCAGTGTTTTCCAGCTGTGTGTACAAAGAGGCACGCTTTATCAAAGCATTCACTTTTACTTTGACAAGTGCATCACTCTCAATTACATTCCCAAGGTCAGTCTGAGCTTCATCATGTCTTCCAAGCAGTAGATAGAATGTTGCACGAAGTAGGAGGGCTTCATTCTTGTAAATGCCATTGGCAGTAATTTCCTCTGTACAAGCTTCAACAATCGATTCATAATCTTGGTTGTCTAATGCTTTTTTCGCCTTAGAGAAACCACCATTTACTTTATCATCTAAGTATATTTTTGCAATAGGATCTTCAGAGAATGCGGAAAAGTATGTTTTTATAAAGTGTTTAGATGGCATAACAGGGCGTCGTCTTGCGAGGGCTTCGCGGGCATGCTGCCTGCCAAGCGCCTTCAGGATACGGTCGGCGTTGACGAGTGAGCTCTGCACTTGGAACTTTTCAAGGATGCAGGCTGAAGTTACATCTTCAAGTGCCAATACCAAATCACCGCTTTTTTCAGCAGCTCGCGAACGTCGTAGAAATGCTTTTACATATTTTTCATTCAACTTAAGTGCAAATGTACAATCTTCCTTAACTTGTTCCCACATTTCACGTTTCTCGTAGCATGCTGAACGGTTTTGATAGAACGTCGCCAAATCTACCGGACGATCAGGAGGGCATGCCTCAATCGCTTCGTTGTATAAAGAAATGGCTTTATCATACTCGCCAGCATGGAAAGCGCGGTTTCCGGCACCCTTAAGTTTCATGGCACGATCCAGTGCGGTTTCCGCAGTTTTAGAGTTGTTTTCTTCATTATCTAACGAAATAGTCGTTTTGGCTTTTAACTCAGCTACCTTTTTCTTTTCTGGATCTTCTAATCTATTCCGTAGATAAAGGTAACCTAAGCCGATGGCCAAAGGTGCACCGAGAAGGATGGCCAATTGCCATTTCGGAAATGGTGTACTGCCGGTCGATGCCATACCTTCTCAAAAACCTACTTTGTATCAAATGATAAACAACACTATTCACCATTTACTTAATAAGACAACGATAAAAAAAACAATACTTCAAATTTGACAATTTTCTCCCATTTCCTTTGAACTTTTGAAGATAAAACACTTGACGGAGACAATCAACGAACGGACGAGATACAGCCCAAGCAAAGACAATTTTTTTGACACTACGATTTTCCTTGTCAATAGATCATGTGCAAAATAATACCTGCCAGTCTGAAAAAGATAGGGTTTTCGTACCTAAGAATTTTACTCGTGCGGACACGTACGAACGACGGGTACGGGTACGGCCAGAGTGCACTCAGATTCAGATTCCGAAAACAAGCGCGAGAAATAAACAGTGTAGTCTTGTTTTCGGAATCTGAATCTGAGTGCACTCTGGCCGCACCCGAAGGGTACGGCCAGAGTGCACTCCTGATTCAGATTCAGACTCAGAAAACAAAGCGCGAGAAAAAGCAGGCAACCTGCTTAGACTACACTGTTTATTTCTCGCGCTTGTTTTCGGAATCTGAATCTGAATCTGAGTGCAGTCTGGCCGCACCCTAGATCATTCAAATTCTGAATTCACCAGCGCCGCTCGGACTGCAGGTAGGGTTGCCAACCCTCATATAAAATATAGTATCCTCCTTTAATAGGGGATCAAATACTATAATTCAAAAAAATACGTAGTGGGCGAAATTACTAAATTTTGCTTAAAGCATATTTTTAACAGTAAAAGCTTTCTTAAAAAATATTAGAGATTGTTATTATAATATTAGTAAGGCAAAGAGCAACAAAAATATATTTATTTCAAAATAAAGTAAATATTATAACCACATACTGGTGTCGATTCTGGCACGATTCTCTAAATCTAAACTTAAATTTGACAACAGTGCATCCTTGCCATTCTCTATACAGAATGAAAAGGAGAGACTGATGTTAATTCTTCATCATGTGAGGTTAATTTTTTTTTAAAAGTAGTAGTTAAAACGTTTCCACTTCCATCTTAAAATATTGGAAGAAACGTTTCCTATTGACTTTTAATTAGGGAAACAAATAATGGTATTCCCCATATTCTCCGATCGATTTTCATTAGAAAACTCCTCCAAGTTTCAAACTGCGAAAACACCCCCCAATTTAAGTTTCTAGATCAACAACTTCGAACGCGTCGAATGAGAAAGAGAGACTGTTGAATGATTGTCGATTGCGACTTTTTACAGATTAAAAGTTTATGAAGTGATTTTATTTTTATATAAAAAAGTAATAAAGAAAACCCCCGTTCCCCCCAAAACAAAATTTCTTCCCCCATTAAACCCCCCATCGATCGCTTTAAAAATCCCCCAAATTTTGAGTAACCTCCCCCAACCTGGCAACAGTGCTCGCGTCCGCGTCTTGTATTATCTGCCTCCACTGTGGCCATCACCTGCTTTCCTCAAGCTGACATCTCACGAGCCTGCTTTCTGAGTCTGAATCTGAGTGAGTGCACTCTGGCCGTACCCGTACCCTGGCCGTACCCTGTGACAGCACTCATACGTCCTCTAGGCCGAACGCAAGCCAAGCGTAAACTCGCGGCTAAAAGCACCTCTACAGCCTTACCAATATAGAAAAGACCTAAAATGTTCTTGATTCAATATCGAGGTGCTTTTTTTCATATTTTCTTAATTCAGCCCCGTTCTCGAGTTTTCTGTGAAAACACTTGATTTTTTGGTCGAAAAAAGTCGGTTTTTATAGATTTCCAAAAAAGTTTTTGATTTTTCCACAATAATTTTTATATCTTCTTAAAGCCCTTTACATTCAGAGTCTTTAGAGCCTTGAGATACCTCGAGGTTAAGGGCCATGATGCGTCCTCATGGCCCTTAACCTCGAGGTATCACGGGCGTGTCACACTATCAGCGAAAATGGGGGCCTACTGGAGCGAACGAAAAAACATTTTCAATGTTAAAACACTATACACGATAGCTTAAAAGCAATACCGTTAGTCGCCTTAGAGCATATATCAATAGAATTACAAAACCAGTACAAAGCAATATACAAGAATATCCCAAATATGTCAAACATTATAAGTATTGATTGTAATGGATTTCCTCTCATAAAATAAATAATAAATTAAACACGTGGCTGTATGGGCATTATTTCCTATGCCTTCACTGAAAAGGGAGATAACAAAAAAAGAAATACATATTGTACGCTGCTTTTCACTCGTTTTCTTTTTCGTATTTGGTGTTCGTTAAATTATTAACAGTCTGTCGTTATCATGTTTTATAAAAAATGTAAAGGACAGACTGATGTCAACTTTACAAATAGCAAACACGAAAAGAAAGGCAACTGCCGGCATTAACCTAACCTTTCAAATTTTTAAGTATTAAAATATTTATCTTTTACTTGACATTGGCTGAACGCATAAACCGTGCATGCCATAAAAAAAGAAAAAGAAGAAGAAAATATTTATCACTAATTTACTTTGTATTTGATGGATACCTACTTATCCATTTAGTATATGTAATTATTGTATAACAAAAAGTTCACTATAATGTTGGCAATAAAACTGTTAAAGTTGGTAAGTAAGTATATAACATAAGAAAAAAAAACCTCAATATTGTTGTTAATAATTTTATCTGCTGTATTTTATTTTTAGGTTAAACCAAATACCATTCTGAAAACAGCAAAAAGGTTCTCACCTATGCACACAAATCAGCTGTTCAGGCATAAAAGTGACCTTTATGAACCTGACTATCTTATTGTAAGTGTTCATAAAAAAAACAAATAGAAACCTGCACTATATTACCTGATCATAATATTTCAACTTTATTGTTTTTAGAGTATGGAGCCTGAGGAACCAGTGTATGACTGTTTGAATTTACAAATTAAAGGTTATGACTTTGCTGTATTAGAAGCTTACCAGAGTCAACTTCATAAATATGCAGAGGTCATGGGTATAGAAGTTGATGAATGGTGTGTGATAAATCTGGTACTTACTGTAAATAAATACTGAAAAACTCACAGTAATAAATTAATTTAATGAAAAATAGTTTGTGCTATGCATGCAAATTATAAGTTTTTATTAATTGATGAAAATTTTGGGAAATATTGCACAAGCAGCTTACAGTTAGTTGCTGTTTCAATAATTTTGACATAAAAGTCATATTTAATTTAAAATGATTTTATAACAGCTTACTTTCTTGCAGAGGACAGCAAATGTATTAAAATATTTATTCATTTTTAACGATAGTGCAATGGATAGGTTAATTGATATGTTATTTAATATTTAGTTTCTTTATAATAATAGGGGTGTTGACGGGGTACAGTAAACGAAATTCTATTTAGTCCGTCAGTTAGATGATCAAAATATAATGGACACATATTTTTTCTTTGGGCAATCAACCAAAAAATGACAAAGTTATAGCGTGTCAAAGTTTGGGAGCAGGGGCTCGTGACGTCACTTTTGAGTGAATTTTCACTTATAAGTGTACTCAAACATGACGTCATGCGACTTTTCAAATCAACATATCTCTGCAATGTTTATATTATGTGAAAAAAGAAAAAATACGTGTCTAATAAATACTTTTTGATGAACTGCCTGATAAACGAAGAAAAAAAAATTAGTCATCATCCCTATTGTAATTTCACCTCTCGAAAGCTTCTGGATTATCTAATATATAAAATTCTCGTGTCGCGGTGTTTGTGGTTAAACTCCTCCGAAACGGCTTTCCCGATTTTCATGAAATTTTGTGTGCATATTGGGTAGGTCTGAGAATCGGACATCTATTTTTCATCCCCCTAAATGTTAAGGGTTTTTTTAAATTTTTTTATGATACATCATACACAAATACATACAACTCAAAATTTTCACCCTTCTACCACCAACCCCTATTTTATTATGGCGGTACGAAGTTCGCTGGGACAGCTAGTATTTTATGTAATTTCACCTCTCAAAAGCTTCTGGATTAGATTATATGGGGCCTTTGTGTGGTAACCCCCAAATATTTTGTTTGATAGTTTACTATCATACACCTTAGAAATCTACACTTTTGGACACATCTATCAGCCCACCTAGCTTTTTAACTTTTAACAAAAATAAATGTCACATAGAGCAAAAACTTATTACCTATGCAGTTTTGAAGCTGTTTACAAAATCATATTTTCGTTATCATACATTTTTCTTGAATAGAATTAGGGCATGAAAATGTTCAATGTATTGCCATGTAAGGTTGTTTGCTTCTGGAACTATGAGGGCCCTAGAGGCTGATATTTAAAAAGAAATTCTTTCTTGTGACTATAAATATTCCACATGATAGTGCAAAATCTAAATTGATTATTGTCTTATTTACAGTTGGGCAACACCAGCACAGGCACTGAAAATACAGAGGTTTAAGCCAGGAGGTACAGTAGTTGATACTGAGTACCTTCTCAATGTATATGAAAGAAATGTTCAGGTACAGTATTTAACTTATGTAGATCTGTTGTTGAGTAAAGCACTACACATTATCCATTCATGCATTCAGTCGCAAAATGATACTCCATAGTCATGCTGGACGGCAATAATTACGTCCACTAAGCCTCCGCACACAAAACCGTACAGTCTAAAGGCGTGTCCACTGCGCCATGTTTTGTACAGAACATTGTTTGAAAACAAATAAGGGGTGTGGCCTTACTGTTTTGTGGAGCAAATACACTTGAACTTGTTTGCCGTAGTTTTTAGAAAACATCCCCCATAATCGTCTGCGGGATTGATCATTTTATGTTTGACTTTGGCATAAGAAGACGTGTTATGATGTGACGTGAACTCTGTGAGCACAAAATGGTTGAGCCTCAAATCACAATTCAATTGAGAAAAAAAAGAGAACTAAATCCACTACAGCCTAAACAATGTTCACGTCTTCTTCGTCGCTACTATTTTTTTAAATGTGAAATTTTCTTAATTTGTTTAATAAACATTGCTAAAGTTGCAGCAGACGGGAAATGTTTTGAACAAACAATGTTCAAGAACAATGTGTGTTCAAAACATTGCGCAGCAGACACGCCGTTATACCTTGTCTCTTATAATCCACACATTGGCAGAATGGTCTCATAATGAGGTGCAGACATAGTCACCAAAAATTTTGAGCAAATCTATGGATAATGCATTGAGAGCTTTACAGCAAGGCCTGATTTACCCACAGGGTAATAAGGCTAGAGCTTAGGGTGCCAGGAACAAGGAGGCGGCCGGCGGGCGCAGCGCTGAGCTAAGACTTAAATAAAAATATTATTATACTAGCGGCCGCCTCTGACTTCGCCCACGTTAACTTTGGTCCCTCAGGAACCTAAAAAGGACATTGCTCGTTCCCCATACATTGAATGCCCTAGAACGCACAGCAATGAGAAAATGCTAGTTGTGTTCGGAATCATTCATAAACTCTAATTAGGCATTTGTTGAATTACGGACAAGTTGAGGAACCGTGCCCTACTACAGAATGTATTAGATTTGGAGGTTATAATTATTATACTTAATCGTAAAAGATGTACACTTTATATATTCTGAATAGATTTAGTGTTTACCTCTATGTAAACACTTAAATAATATGCATTAAATGAACATAAAATGCAATTAATAATAAATGCTTATATTCATATTGATTTATGAGTGTTGGTAGTTGGCACCTATGATACCTATACCTACCTGTTGTAATGATAGATTTCTTTTCAAATGAAATATTCAAAGTCTTTCCATTTATCTGTTTCTATATTATACTATCGATAATAAGGTATGTTATCATTATGATTTTCATAAAAATAAAGTGATATTATATGGGATGGGAGTATAAACTATCTTTACATAATTTCAGAAATACTCTTTTAATAAATATATTTTAAATACTAGTGACAAGTATTACTAACTAAGGTATCTAGTTCTATTCTTATGTTGATAAATACTTATGGTCGCCTATATTGCATTTATTAGGGTAAACAATCTTGGCAACACTTTTTAACAAAATCACCCATTTAAAAATAAAATAATAACGAAGCCAATAAACTATTAAAATAAATCGTTATTATAGACTGAAACCTATTAGTCCAGTCAATGAAGGCTTAACTTTGCCATTTTGAGTTGATCACCTGCAACCAGCGCGAAAATTTCCGCAAGGATTCGTAGATTAATATACTAAAATTGCAGGGTGCTGCATTGACGGCAAAGGGTGCAAAAAAAAAAATGCGAAATGGTGCAAAAACGAGTTTTCCGTCAATATCTCGCGACTGGCTGGAAAAATGGAAAAATTCCTAGTACAAAGTTGTACAAAGGACAATGGGCAAAACGCACCCAGCTCCGCCAACAATGTAATTAGTATGAATCGATAGATCTTTGAAAAACTAGCCTTTTTTATTATGGCACCAAAAAAAATAACCTGGGGGTCAAAAGATATACACCTGGGTATGTTCTATATTAGGGGTTAAGGTTTCCGCACATAGTCCTTATAGACGACGTTTGTGTGTAAGTCATGGGGACCGGTTACACACGGGCATATTTAAATAGCTCCTTATAGAGAAGCTCGATGGCGCAGTTGGTTAGCGCGTTCGGTTGCGATCGTTGAAGTTAAGCAACTTCCGCAGTGGTCGGTCATTGAATGGGTGACCAAAAACATCTATCTCGAGTTCCTCCGTGCTTCGGAAGGCTCGTTAAGCCGTTGGTCCCGGCTGCATCTGCAGTCGTTAGCACCCGCCAATCCGCACTGGGCCCGCGTGGTGGGTCATGGCCCAATCTCCCTATTTCATCCATAGGGAAGGCCTGTGCCCCAGCAGTGGGGACATTAATAGGCTGATGATGATGATATTTAAATAGCTAAAGAAATTGATTCAATATCAATAGTACTTTCGTTTTATAATATTAGCAATAATAAGTGAGTGAATCATATCTTACTACGTACCAGATACAAAATACTAAACAACAAAGCCTACCGACTATCCTGCTTGCTTGCTGCTTGCACTTACTGAGACTCCTCAAAACGTCTAACAGGGTATGGGGGTTGAAGGATGTGATATTGCAGTTGCCGTTGCAACTAGTCTACTCGTATGCAGTCCTATGTCTTACATTTTGTGCGCTCCCTGTTATTTCATTGATATTTAACTAACACGCTTTAGAAATAGGAACACGATTATCATCGCGTACGTCATTATAATCGTACGAGCTAATAAAAAATCTATGGATCAATTTAAATGCTCGTACTCAGCACACAAACATCTGCCCCCACCAGGATTCGAACCCGGGACCTCTCGAGCCAGCGACATCATGAAACCTTATACTCGTCCTTGTATCTTTAAATATTATGTTCGTTATAGTTACTTTTACCTATGGAATTGTACCTATTTAACTTAAAATAACTAAAGACTCCCGGGATGGAATTTGATGCGCTTTGGCACAAATGATCATGACTATGATACCTTTCAAACAAATGTAGTTTAAGCCGTGGCGGACGTGGGTGCAGTGCCCATGCAATTTTGCCCATTGTCTTTTAATTTCCTACAAAAAAGGTATCAACATATTTTCGCGTATCTCCCATAGTTTTTGCACAAAATGCAATTAAAGGTGCAAAATAAAAAAAATAAAATATATTGTTAATGGTTTTTTTTCCCATTTTTAAACGATCCTACGGGTCAAATTCAACAATCACCACTTACTGAAATATTTAAGGATGAGTTTTCGGCAGTCCACTGAAGTGAAAATTGTCTACCGAAATGGTAAAAAAATGGCCACCGAAATGATACAGCCAAGAACATCGCCTTTGTAGTAGAAGGGCTACCTATTTTGAATTTAAATAAATTTCCTTATTATTTGTAAATATTTTTGTTCATTATTTTTCAATAAGAATTATTAATGAAGAATTAATTAATTGTTACTCCTATTAATTATTATTACTAATTATAATTATTAATATGTACATTTTCAAAATAACGAACAAAGCGCGTTTAGAAAGCGAGAAGTTTATTAGTTAGTAAATCATCCCCTAAGTGCCAAAACCGATTATCTGCACTTTTCCGCTACTGAACTTTGATAATACCAATCGACCCATCTCATTAAGCCGCATCTACAGGTAAAACCCATTATGCTCTACGACGCATACTTCCTGAAATAGCTAATGAATAAACGGCATATCTGCAAATTATTTCCAAAATTCTTGATTTAAAACCTAATAAACCTATTAAAAACACTTAAGTTTGTAAATGTGTTACCGCTGAAACCAAGTTTCGGATTTAAACTCATTTTTCATGTAGACACTTAGAGTAAATATCCTGTGAGTATCCTATAATTGGCTTTGACTGTTTGAATTTTACCAGATATTTTAATTTTACTAGATGAAGTAAAAATTAACAGATCTAAGTCGCTTTTTTCAAAAACAAATATATATATTATATTTGCGTAATATTTGAGGCAATTGAATAAGATACCGAATTTCAATTTATTTTTACTTAATCACTTTTATTCAACGCTTTATAAATTACTTCAGCTAAAATCGATTATCGGTGCTTACTCTTTTCTTCCACTGTAATTTATTAGCGTTAGACATCGTTACTTTAAAATTTATGCTTCAGCTAAAATCAGCTATCCATGTTTAACCGTCTCTTCCGTACACAGATCGCGCGCTAGGGAGTGAGTTGCTCACTTTTATTCATTCATTGTTGAATCGCGCGCTGGGCAACAATGTTATTTTTTTGTTTAATTAATCACTAATTAACATTACTGGGTGAACTATTCTGCGTATTTGGTTTAAAATGATACTAAGAAAGATAACGAAAAATAAACTTGATAAAAAATTGATTTCAATTGCACTTTAACATTTATTTTTATTTCATCGTGTTCAGCGCGAAATTTGCATTTGAAACATATATTTGCAATATGCAACACATATTCTTATACATTATCATATAATAAAATAATAAAAAAAATCCGAAACATATTAATTAAATCCCAATGAAGCATGTAGAGGTGAACTCCCCAAGCAAAAAAAAATACAAGCTCAGAGTGGCAGTGCAATGTGCTGATTTATGATTTTGACTTTTTCTCTTAGTTAAGTAGGTACTTCTCAACCTTGTCAAAAAGAATTATTGAGTAATGGGCTCTATTCCATAAAATAAAAAAATACGAAGTGGCATTTTATGCGATGATAACATGCCTCTTCGTAGGAATTGGGTTTAGGACAGGTGTCCTAAACCCAATTCCTCTCGTTAAATTACTTCCCCTGTAGTTACATTTATTTTTTCGATTGAAATTAACTTTTATATCATTAATATATAATATAGCCTATCAACAAAACCTACTACTGTTGGTTTACCTTCTTCCTTATACATGCAACAAGCACTCAACTTTTGTCCTGGAAAAAGTTATATTTCCATGGACAGTAAGTTTTTGTGAAATAGGTTCGTCTACATTGCGTTGTTGTGTCCCGCTTGTCAGTGCTCACTTCGAGCCAGTCCGCCTTCGCTGGAGCACACGCACGCGCAACAACGTCATTGTGGATTCCCGCCAAATAGTAAGTATATCATTTCAGTGATATGGGGACAATTGATTCGGTGGACACTAATGCCGATAAGAGTCCTGGGAATGAAAGTATCGCCGAAATGATACATTCATAAGTTTTTAGAGATCCTTGAGTCAATATAGGTATATTAAATAGTTTCGGTTTATGATGTAGATTTATCTAGATACTGTAGGTTCGATATTTCGGGTGCAGTAGTATTTCTATCTAAAATATCTAGTTTAAAAATGTATATTAAAGCTAAAGCGGACAAATCCGTTGGCGGCCGATAGTATTCCTAATTAAATAAGTGTAGAAAATCAGTATTATTACACATTAGTCATCAGAATGGTTTCTGAAGGAAAACGATCAGATTGGCTTGTTTCTCTAGCCAAAGATCTGTATAATCCATGGTACTCTTCAGGTATGACACCTTTGTTGCACAAATAATCAAGATCTTTTTTCTTTGCTATAGATCTTTTTTTGTATAAATAGGTTCGACAAATGACTCCACCAAAGGTTAGGTGACGGAGGAGTCTAGACGCGAAGATAGCTGGTACAGCAGTATTACTTGCCACACCAGCTATCCTCATTTTACCGGCCTGCAGAATTGCTACTTCACACACGTAAGAGGGCAAAGTAATCCATTTGCGGATAGTCTGACAAAGAAATGAGTTACCAAATTTCTTTGTTCACTTTGGAACAGTGGGAATAGTAGTTCACAGTAAGTCGGTGACATCGTAAGCCAGCGCGTGTAGACTTCTGTAGGAAAGGGGAAGGTAGGTTCCCTTAACCTATATACACAATAACTTCTCAAAACATGCGCCATGGTATAGACGATAAAACGCGCTTAATAACGCCACATAACGGCGTAATTGAAGAGGCTCGAGATGTTTAGTCACCTTCTTATCGCCAATAATGCGGATCGCGCGCCGCTGTAACCTATCCAAAGAATCAAAAAAGTAATTGGCGGAGCCATCCTCTGGGGTGCGAACAATATTCCACGCAAGACCGTACTATGTCATGTACAACAAGCACAGTTGCTCAGGCGAGAAAAAACGTTAGTTTTACCGTGAAAGCGCAGACCTGGGCTTTCTTGGCATTGAACTCAACCAAGTTCTTGGTACCACATTCCGAAATGCAGCCCAAATCTTGATTGAGTTCAATGACAAGATTCTCCCGTTTCTGTTTGGTTTCTACCTGTCCAGCGGCTGCGTATCCAAAACATCCCGCATGCACTGTATTATCGTCTGCATAGCAATAAATATTCTCAAGAGGAATTAAATCATTGAATGCAGCAAAAAGAGTGTAGGGGATAGGACGGAGTCCTGAGAAACACCGGCATTCACTGACATGAACTGCGAACTACATCCGTCGCCGTCCGTTGACGCTCATGCAGGAAGTCAGTCACTCAGGCACAGAACTGAGTAGGTAGACCGTATCCAGGAAGCTTGGAGAGAAGACTTATGTGCCAGACCCTATCAAAGCCTTGGCGATGTTAAGGCTGATAGCCAAAGACTCAACTCGCTTATCGATAGCCTCACCCCAGATATATATCACGTACGCTAGAAGGTCACCTGTCGATCGATTGGGTGTATCCTCTTTTACTTGCCTTAAATATAACGCAAACATATTATATATATTTTTTTTTGCAAAAAGCGACAGATTTGTTAGTTTTTACTTCATCTAGTAAAATTAAAATATCTGGTAAAATTCAAACAGTCAAAGCCAATTACAGGATACTCACAGGATATTTACTCTAAGTGTCTACATGAAAAATGAGTTTAAATCCGAAACTTGGTTTCAGCGGTAATACATTTACAAATTGGAGTGTTTTGAATGGGTTTATTAGGTTTACAATCAAGAATTTTGGAAATAATTTGCAGTTATTCTGTTTATTCATTAGCTATTTCAGGAAATATGCGTCGTAGAGCATAATGGGTTTTACCTGTAGATGCGGCTTAATGAGACGGGTCGATTGGTATTATAAAAGTTCAGTAGCGGAAAAGTGCAGATAATCGGTTTTGGCACTAAGGGGACGATTTACTAACTAATAAACTTCTCGCTTTCTAAACGCGCTTTGTTCGTTATTTTGAAAATGTACATATTAATAATTATAATTAGTAATAATAATTAATAGGAGTAACCATTAATTAATTCTTCATTAATAATTCTTATTAAAAAATAATGAACAAAAATATTTACAAATAATAAGGAACTTTATTTAAATTCAAAATAGGGAGCCCTTCTACTACAAAGGCGATGTTCTTGGCTGTATCATATCGGTGGCCATTTTTTTACCATTTCGGTAGACAATTTTCATTTCAGTGGACTGCCGAAACCTTATCCTTAAATATGTCAGTAAGTGCTGACTGTTGAATTAGACCCGTAGGATCCTTTTAAATGGAAAAAAACGATTAACAATATATTTTATTTTTTTATCATGCACCTTTAATTGCATTTTGTGCAAAAAATATGGGAGATACGCGAAAATATGTTGGTAACTTTTTTGTAGGAAATTAAATTTTCTACAATTTTGTACTAGGAACTTTTTCTATTTTTCCAGCCAGTCGCGAGATATTGACGAAAAACTCGTTTTTGCACCATTTCGCATTTTTTTTGCCTTTGCCGTCAATGCAGCACCCGTGGCAGCACCCTGCAATTTTAGTATATTAATCTACGAACCCTTGCGAACAAAACTTTTATTTTTTATTTTTTTAAACAGATTCTCCGTTTACTATGATTAATTGCTAATAAATAAAAAAAATAATAGAAAAATAATAGTGAAGGACATTCTTTTGGGCATGCTAGGGCCGATTTCGTCGATGTCCTTTGCGAAGGTTCAAATGGGGGGAGGGGGTATACGCATTTGTACTTCATTCATGGATGTTTAATATGTATTTCTGAATAAAAGTACATATATAAGTATATTATCTAAATAAATATATCTTTATATATATAATTCTTCTGTGAGTGTGTATGTCACTGAACTTCTCTTAAACGACTGGACCGATTTTGATGAAATTTTTAGTGTGTGTTCAAGCTGATCTGAGAATGGTTTAGATTCACAATTTTGTCCGCTGGACAACCCCTATTTTTTTAAGGCGGTACGAAGTTCGCTGGGTCAGCTAGTATATATGTATATGTACAGTATATGTGTTCTATCCGTTACCCTAGTATCCCATAACACAAGCCTTATGGTGCTTACTTTGGGGCTTGGCTAATTGGTATGAGTGTTGGAAATAATTATTTATTTTATTTTTTATATATATATTGCAGGTGACTGATATTCCCGCTTGGGCGCTAGGTTCACTATTGCGCGTGGCACGCGCTTCCTTGCCCGAAGGCTGCACGCTCAACGTACACGAGCACATGCCCGAACACGAGGAAGTGAGATATGTCCCTGACAACGAACTCAAACAACTAAAACAGCAACTCGAGGACATGGGTGGTAGCAGAGCTGAAAGGAAGAAGAAAAAATAGACAATACATTTCATTTTATATTGTTTAGTTAGATAATAGACTTATTAATATAATTGTAAAGAGTGAATAAATTTTAAACAGCTGAAAGTGCTTCTTTAGATAAATAGGAAGTGGTCGTATACAAAATAAAGTCATGTTATTAATATTCGCTTCTGTTTCATTATATGAGCTTTGAACACTTTCTCATATTCTCTAATTTAATTGTTTGACTTAGCTGTATTTAACGAAAGCTGATTCAATCATCATCAATCTTATTCATTTCAATAAGTTCAACGTCTGTTGGTTTACGTTTTCTGTATGAAATTCCAGATTCAAAAAAATTCAAAATTCAAATGTTTCTTAAAAACAAGGTTATGCCTTGTTTCTTTTAATTAAAGGAACTAAAACGTTAAAAGAAAATTCTGATAAGAAATATACAATTTAATAGGTACATTATTAGTCCAGTCATTCCACGGTTTCCCTAGCAATTTTATTGACGAAACACTCATCCTATCCAACGCCCTCTGGTACATTATAGCGATTTTCATACGTATTCGTTAAAATAGTCCAGTCAGGTGCAGTACCTAGGATTGAGAAAGACTTATAAAGAACTTTCCTTTATAAAACTAATAAGTTTTTTTATTTGGCTTAATCCTTTTTGGGCAGAAAAGCTTTGCCTTTTTATTGTACAAGTTACAAAATAAACTTGGTGGTTACTTGTTACTTGTTGTGGGCCCCCGTTTCCGCACGTAGACTCCGTATTTGGTCCATTGTGCGTGCAGGGTATATTGGGCTAGCTAGCTCAGCCAGCCCAGCTCCTTCCAGAAGCGCAGTAGTCTCTTGGGACTCTCACAGGCTTCTAGGAGCGTCCTCGGCTTCCTGAGGATTGATGCCCGGTGTTCTGCTACGCTCATGCATTCCAGGATCACATGTGCGGCCGTTTCATCTGCTTCCAGACATCCTCTGCATAGAGAGCTATCTGTAACACGTATGGTTAGTAGATGCTTGTTAAGTAGGCAGTGCCCTGTTATGGTGCCCAGCATTACTCGGAGGTCATTTCGGTTAAGATTTAGTAGTTTTTTTGTTAGGTTAGGGTTAAGTCTAGGGAAAATATCCTTAGATTGCCTGCAGCCCTCGGTACTAGCCCATCGGCTGTTATGGCTCTGTATGGTTCTTTGACGCACCCATGTACGAACTTGATTGAAGGGTAATGGTAGAAGTGGCTCAGGGCCTTCCACTCTTTGTGATGATCCCCTTCTAGCTAGTTCGTCGGCCGCGTCATTACCCATAGAGCCACTATGTCCCTTGATCCATTGGAGGGTAACCTTTGTTATCTGTTGCTATGCGCTCCAATGCTAGGTGACATTCGTGTATTAGCCCAGAAGTTTTGCTGTTGTTATCTAGGGCTCTTAGGACAGCCATACTATCAGATAATATACGTATCTTGTAGTTTGTGACTTTCCTGTTAATAACAACGGTGGCGGCCTGAGTAATAGCTATACATTCGCATTGGAATATTGAGCTGTGATTACCCAGTGCTGTTGATATATGTATGTTAAGGTCCAGTGAGAAGACTCCTGCGCCTGATCCGGATCCAGGTATTTTGGATCCATCAGTGTATATGCGTAGTTCGTCTGTGCCTGACCAGTCCTTGTTGGTTTCTAGTAGTTCTATTTGATATTTCTTATCAAATGTAAGAGTAGTCGGGATTTTGTCACAGCGGGCTATTACAAGAGGTTGGTATTGTATAGCCCTTTCCAAGATTTTGGAGTGAGGTCCCTGGTTTTCCGTCCACAAGCCCAGATGGTACATTCTTAGCGCTGCCATGGTTGCTTCCTGTTGTATAAACAGATCCAGTGGCGGCAGGCCAAGCGCTATTTCTAGGGCGGTTGTGGGTGTGGATTTCATGCAGCCTGTTATAGCAGAACATGCTAATCTTTGAAAACGCTGCAGTTTATTTATTGCGGTGTTGATTTCGCTTCTAGGCCACCAAACTATTGCACCGTAGATGATGAGTGGTCTGATTATGGTTGTGTAAAGCCATTTTGTGATTTTTGGTGCAAGACCCCAGGTTTTACCAAGTAGCCTTTTGCACTGCCAAAATGTGATACAGGCTTTGTTTATCTTTTGGTCTAAGTGACTATTCCATGTAAGCTTATGGTCAAGAACTATGCCTAGATATTTGACCTCGTTCGACATAGATAGTTCGATGTTAAATAACTTGGGCAGTTTCATGGCATCCAAGTTACGTTTCTTCGTGAACATGACCATCTCTGTTTTGGTCGGATTCACCGATAGTTGGTGCTTAGTACACCAGTTTTCGACTATCTTGAGAGCGTTGCTCATTAAGTTGCACAGTACATTTTGAAATGGCCCACTTATGAGGATTACTAGGTCGTCTGCATAGCCAACTGTGTGGTAGTTGCGCTGATTGAGTTGGCAAATTAGTTCGTCAACCACAGTGTTCCACAGAAGAGGAGATAAAACTCCTCCCTGTGGGCAACCCCGTGCCACTACGGCTCTCTTCGTAGTGTTCACCGTCACTTGTATTGCTCTGTATTTCAGCATGTTGTTGATCCATCCCGCAGTCGTGGGGTCAACACCATGTCTCACAAGTGCTTGGCTGATGCTGGTAAAGTTCGTTTTATCAAAGGCGCCTTCAATGTCAATAAAGACTCCCAGCGTTGACTGTTTTGGTGATAGTCCACGTTCTATTTGCCTGACCACACTGTGTAACGCGGATTCGGTAGATTTGCCCATGCTGTAGGCGTGTTGATTGGCATGAAGTGGTACTCGCTTTAGAGCATTATCTCTCAAGTACCTGTCACACATTCTCTCCAGCACCTTTAGGAGAAATGATGTGAGACTTATCGGTCTGAATGCTTTGGGTTGCGTGTAGTCACTTTTGCCCGGTTTGGGTATGAATATAACTTTAACCTCTCTCCACTTGGTGGGTATGTACCGATAGGCGAGACATCCTGTATAGATTCGCAGCAGATGCTCGAGTATCGATTCTTCACACCATTGCAGTAGGCCCGGAAAGATGCCATCCAGACCGACAGAGCTGCTTTAAAGGGGAGAAAGCTTTTGATGGCCCATGTTAATGTATTGATTTTGATGATTTTGCGTGCGGTTGTCCAGTCCGCTGATCCCGGAACTGCAGATATCTCATCTTCCCATTCTTGGTTTTCCTTAGTATTACAGCCTGGGAAGTGTGTTTGCATCAGCAGCTCACAGGTTTCAGCGTCAGTTTTTGTGAAGGTGTTATCAGCCTTTTTGAGGAAACCTAAATTGCGTTCGGGATCACTACTCAGGATTTTCCTCACTCTTGCGGCATGATTGTTGTCTTGAATATCGCTACAGAAACGCTTCCAGCATTCAGCTTTCCTGAAGCGGATGCGCTTTTTGTAGCGGGACTGTGCCTCCTTGTAGCGACTCCAGTCATATTCTAGTCGGGTGTTTTTTGCTCTGTTGAACATCTTTCTTACCCTACGCCGCAACTTATCCAGTTCAGGATCCCACCAATTGTGTTTGCCTTTGCTTGTTGTGCGTTGCTGTAATAGTGGGCAAGATTGTTCATAACAGACGGTTAACGTTGATGTTATGTTATTCACGTGCGTGTCTATTTCCGTTGGATGTTTATATTCCTCTGGAGGTTGAAGACACTTCAGACTGGCTGATGCTAGTGACAAAATTTTTTTGCGGTCAGTCTTACGTGGAATGCGTCGAGGGTCTGGTGGTTTATTGTTTATATGAAGGTAGAACCTAATCCATCTGTGATCCGAGCAAGATGCTTCGTCGGATACGTGCCAGTCAGTGATATATTCGGCAATTTTCTCACTGGTTAGGGTTAGGTCGATTATTGTCTGGGCTCTTGATGTTACAAAGGTAGGTTCAGAGCCTCTGTTGATGATTTTTAAGTTTGTTGAGAAAAAGTAGCTAGAAAAGTCCTCACCTCTGGTATTGGTGTCGTGGCTGCCCCAAAGTGTGTGATGTGCGTTGGAGTCAGCGGCGATGATCAGCTCCAGTCCCTCTTGCTCGCAGTGTGTCACCAGCCTTTCGAACTCCGGCAAGGGTATTTCAGCGTCGCCCTGACAGTAGGCAGACGCTAAAATCACCTCGGGTAGGCTAGGTGTATCACTGAGGAGCCTGATTGCAGTCAGGTCCCTGGAACAGAACTCGGTGATTAAAACGGTTTTCACATGCTTGGGAACAAAGATGCATGTTCGTGGTTTACTTACGGTAGTATCAAGGAGTAATTTGCCTCCAATGTTGGATAGACCACAGATCCTCTCACCCCTGATCCACGGCTCCTGGATGAGGGCTATGGTCTTGGTGTTTGTCTCCAACACTCGCCGAAGATTTGCCGTGGCTGTCTGGCTGTGTTGGAGATTGGATTGTAGGATGTTAAAGAGAGGGGCTGGGTTTTTGGTCGTCATTTTGACTGACCAAGCTGCCCGCTCTCGCTTCCTCTTCATTCGCCTTTTCACCCTCTAGCCACCAGTCCATACGGTCAGCATCCTCCTCTTCCATGCTGGATTGTCGGGCCGGTGACGAGTTGTAGGCCGATGTTGTTGCTGCCGAAGCCGGTGGTTTATTGGCCATACCCACGCCCAGTCCTACGTCGGTCTTCCTCGGTGGGTTAGGTGTGGTGGGCAGTGGTAGTTTTGCCTTGGAAGGTCGATCTGATGGTCGATCGACTGCCCCCGACGAGAAGCGGACATAGATCGACCCGAGCTTGTAAGCTACGCGTCGATCCCTCGCGAGAAGTTTGGGCACATCATCCTGGGGGATACCCACCAGGATAAATAGCTCTTCCTTCTCTTCCGTCTTCACTGCGTGGTACAGGGCCCATTGGTTGATATTGTACCACGGATTCTGGGCGGCCAGCCTCAACCTCAGTTGGTCGAGGTTTTCGCCCTTGTACCGTGGCACAATGATGGAGGCCTTCACCCTCTTCGGAATCTCGGCTTGACGTTTTGTCTGTCAAAACGGTTCCCGAGATGGGAGACCTGATGGTCATTCTAGCGAATAGTCGTCCTCGCA